CGCGAGGCGATCGCCGTCTGGGCCCGGGCAGCCGGCAGTGGGCACAGGCTCCCCGGTGCCCGCCCCTCCGTCGGGAGGGGGGCGCGAGCGGGTGGCCGGGGAGGGGCCGGCACGGCCGCGGCAAAATGAGCCTGCTGTCGGCCATCGACACGAGCGCCGCCTCGGTGTACCAGCCCGCCCAGCTGCTCAACTGGGTCTACCTGTCGCTGCAGGACACGCACCAGGCTAGTGCCTTCGATGCCTTCCGGCCCGAGCCGCCCGCCGGCGCCGCGCCCCCGGAGCTGGCCTTCGGCAAGGGCCGCCCGGAGCAGCTGGGCTCGCCCCTGCACTCCAGCTATCTTAACAGCGTCTTCCAGCTGCAGCGCGGAGAGGTGGGTGCCCCGCGCGCGGCCGCCCTGTGTCCGGTGCGCCAAGGCCGGGTTCCTATCTGCCCGGCTTTTTTCTGGCCTGGCCCGGGCCGGCTCCGCTTTGCCGGGTCCGGCTTGGCTTGGCTTCCATCAGCTCTGCCAAACTTGCCGCCCGAAGTCCCTGGGGCGCCGGGAGCGCGTCACCTCCCCGTAGAGCCGGCCCGGAGCAGCTCAGGCCTGGGCAGGGCCCTCCCGCCCCCTCTTCCAGCCTGCAGCCCTGCTCCTAGTAAGCAAGCTCAGGGGTGTCTCCGGATTCTCTCCAGACAGCTGGGGTGAGGCCAGGGCGGGGAGCCCCCTCCTAGTCGTTCCCTCGCCCAACCCTATCAACTCTGTTGGCCGCCGCCCGCTGGGACCTAGGGTGTAGATCCTACTCCTAAACTCCTCTGGAAGGGCCTAAAAGCTTTCTCCTGGATTTCGTTGGTTCTCCACCCGAAGGGCGCCCGGGAGAGCAGCGAGTCTTGCGGGCGCTTTTTCTGCTGATCCCACTCGGGGTCCCCCAGATCCACCCTGCAGCTGTGCACCCTCCCTCGGCCACATAGGAAGTGGTTTTTGAGGTCTTGACCTCACAGACTGCTCTGTCCCCTGCTTTCCCAGGGTGGAAGGGAATGAAAGGGAAATCCTTAGAGCTTGGGGGAGGGGGGATGGGCGAGGAGGGCTCCAGCTGCCCAGTGCCTTCTCCCCAAAACCTGAGCTGTGTCCCAAAGGCTGCCTGTTCAGTGGATTCGGTTACAAAGTCTACTGGGTAATGCCTGTCCCTAGCTAGATAAATACACAGATGGTCATGACCTCCCAGCCCCTTTGGGGAAGGGGGGTCTTATCCAGAGCCTTCCCAGAATTCATCTACCACAATACCTACCATTTACTCCAATTTTGGAATTCAGACAACCTCTGTGGCTTCCACTTGCCCCTTGTGGTGTCCTCCTGCCAAGGTGCAGGAGGTAGAGGGGCACGCTTGGGGTCACTTTCACTTTCCTTCTGACCTAGAGGTGGGTCTGGGAAGAAGACTGCTATATGCTGAGCACACTTGAAGGTAAGACCCGGAGACGGAAGGTCTGTCTCATATATGTGTTCAGCACTGCCATTATTTACTGGAGGACACATGGACATGCAAAACACTGGAGTAAGGCCAGCACCTAGGCTGCCCTGCTGACCTGTGAGGTGGAGTGGAGTGGGAGGGCTGGGTATGGTAGCCAGGCAGGAAAGGTACTGTTGGAGCGGAGGGAAAGCATCTGTATGCCAGGACTCTTTATAGAACTATAAAGCACACTCTGTGCATGAGGAATGGTTCCAGGCTGGGATCTTTTCTTATGACACTTTGCCTCCTCTTCAGGGACCTGATGTCATGTGACCAGTGACTTTGGAGGGCTGTCGCTGGAGTGTTTCTTTAGTGTCTGGGTCTGTCCCATTTTTTATTCTCCTAACAAACTTGTTGAGCTCTATGCAGTGGGAGTGGGGGTCCCAGGGACTTCACAGCTACAGGCTAATGCCTGTGTGAATGGCTGGTGAGGGAATGGGGTGCTGTCACGGCAGGTGATTGGATGGAGGTACGTTTAAGGAAGAGAGAAGATGGCCATGACCCACAAGTCCAGTGGGGTCCATAAGGAACCTTTACTGAGCCCTTACTAGCCTCCCTCTGCTAAGAGGCCCATCAGTGGTCCCCTTTGGGAGTAGAATGTTGTGCCTCTCCTTGGAAATTTAAACCTCCAGGATCCCAGCTGTGGCTCAGTGAGACCTGCCTCCTGTGCTCCTGTTTCCCCGTGAAGGGGGCACAGTGTGGGAGGGGAGGAGCTGGGGCAACGGTGGAACAGTCTCTCTCGACCTGACGACATGAGCTTCCCGGTCTCTCAGCCTGCCCATCGAGTAGGTTTAGTCTGTGCTGTCACCCAGGGTGTTATGTCTGAGGTTGGAGGCCTGCATAAACAAGAAAGTATATGCCTACAGACAGCCAGGATCAGGGGAGACCAGAGGGACTTCTTACACCTTGGAGGGCTGGAGGACTGTGCCTGCTGACTCGAAGAAGGCTGCCTTGGCTTCAGGTTCCTTCTTCTTCACCTCCCATCCCCTTGGCCTCTTAAACCCTCTCAGAGCCCCAGCTGTGCTCTTGGGGACAGTCCTTTCCCGAGTTCAGGGCTTAGTTGGTGACCTAATATGGCTCCTTAATAGCCATTGGCTGAGAAGGTGAGAAGAAATCCCCCTAAGTCAGTGCCACCACCAAGGGGCTGGGTGCAAAGGCAGCAAGGTCCATGTAGGCAGGAGGGGATTGTAGGAAGAGACCTAGGGTCCATGAGCATTTCCATTCTGTTGGAGGCCTGGCAGGCCTGGTGGCAGTGCCTGTGGATGTGACTTGCATGCTGACCGCTGACCATGGCCCGTCTGCACCAGCCCCTGTGCCAAGAGCCCACCCCCTCCTGCACCGCCCCCAGGCTGTTCCCTCTACAATAGCAAAACACCATGAATGCAGCTGGCATTGGGGGAGGTGAGGACACGGGGGCACAGAAGCCTATTGTGCCCCCTGGAACCTCAGTCCTGGGAGCTGACAATAAGCCAAAGGTCCCGAGTGGCCCTCTGGCCTTGGAAGCGGAGAAGGAGGTGGCACAGTTCACATGCAAGTTCAGGGCAAGCTCCAGGAGGTGACCTTCCATTGGACATGGGCACCTTGTAGTGACTTAAAAGACTTCTGGGTCCTGCAGTGAGACCTCATCAATATGATTTTCAGAAACTGCGTCTGGGAGACTCCTGAGGCCCTGGGTGAACCCCTTCTTTCTTCAGGTGCCTGCAGGGGGAGGGGGGCTTAGACAGAGGGGGTTGGGCTGCATGGTGTCTTCCTTGCCAAGTTCTGTTGGAATTTAAATTCCCAACAGTGTAGCCGCCATAGATTCCACTTCTGGAAAAGTAGAGTTAGCATTACCTCTTGGACCCTGGAGGGATCCTCAGAACCGGTTCTGGGCAGCCCTTGTACCCCACCTCCACCACACCAGGGGGAGTGAGACTATCAAGTCAGATTCTTAGGACAGCTGTTTCCTTTCCCTTTTTCTCCAAGGCTAGAAGTAGCTGGAAAGTGTGATCCCACTGTGGAATAATTATCCCTCCTTCATGGGTGTGGGGAAAAATATGAGTTTGAATGGGTTTGAAAAGTACAGCATATTGTTCTTGAATTCATGCAGTGCCCACTAGCACAGTAAAGGCTCTGAGAAGTCCTGCAATACAAAATATGTTAATGGTTCTACATCTCAACATTTCTCATATTTATTCAATCGGAGAATGGTTTTGGCCCGGGATACATACCAGGTACCAGTGCTCTTCCAAATATCTCCAGGCTAAGGGATGCTCCACTAGCATGTCTAGGTTAAACATCTCCATGGCTGCATAGCTCCAAACTTCAGGAAGCTCTTCCTGAAGCCATAAAGTGGGGTCCTCGAATTGACTTCTGGGGTACCATAGACCCTCTTTGCTGCTATGGCCTGCTCACTGGAGATCTGTGAATGGTAACAAGGGTCCTAAAGCCTAGCAGACAGGCTCCAGAGCCTTCAACCATTCCTCACAGAAATGGCCAGGAGAATCCTTAGGGAAACAACTGTGGTCCTTCTCTACAAGGTCCAAGCTAGAGGTAGGGGCTCATACCTATAGTCCTAGTGCTTAGGAGATTGAGGCAGGAGGATTGCTGTGAGTTCAAGGCCAGCCTGGGCTATCAGCCTGGGCTGGAGAGATGCCTCAGAGGTTAAGAGCACTGACTACTCTTGCAGAGGACCCAAGTTTGAGTTCCAGCACCCACGTGGTAGCTAACAACTGTCCATAACTACAGTTCCAGGGGAATTTGACACTCTCTCCTGACCTTCTTGAGCATTGCATGACATGGTTGCACTTATATCCGCATAGACAATATACTCATACACCAAACTAAAAATAGTAACTAAAATATTTTTGCCTTTTTTGATCTTTCTGAGACAGGGTCTCCCTGTAGCTCCAACTGGCCTGGAACTCACTATGTAGACCAAGCTGGCGTTGAACTCACAGAGATCTGCCTGCCTCTGCCTCCCAAGTGCTGGGACTAAAGGCATGCACCACCACGCCTGGCCAAATAAAATATTAAAAAAAAATCAAAATGGGGCACTGGAAAGAATTGCCATGAGTTCAAAGCCAGCTTGGGCTACAGTGAGACCTTGTCTCAAAAATCAAAATGTGGGGCCGAGGGGCCAGGGGAGTTTGGAGAGATGGCTCAGTAGTTAAGAGCACTGGCTGCTCTTGCAGAGAACCTGAGTTCAGTACCCAGGATTCACACTATGGCTAGCATCTGTCTGTAACTCCAGTTCTAGGGGATCTGATGCCTTCTTCTGATCTCTGTGGTCATTGCACGGCACAGGTGCACTTACATACATGCATACAATACACTCATGCACAGAAAATAAAAATAAATGAATCAAAAAAAAATCAGGAGGCAGAGGCAGGCAGATCTCTGTGAGTTTGAGACCACCTTGGTCTACATAGAGAGTTCCAGGCCAGCTGGGGCTACAAGGAGACCATGTCTCAAAAAAGAGGGAGGACCTGAGTTCAGTCCCCAAGACCCACATGGTAGGAAGGAATGAACTCATACAGGTCATCCTCTGACATCCACATGCATGCTGTGGCTGACTTGCACACACGCTTGTGGACACACACACACACACAGACACACACACACACACACACACACACACACATGCACGAATGCAAAAAAAAATATTTTGTAAATAAACAAAACAAAAACCAAACAAACAAAAGGCCCCGGCCTAGAAAGTTGTTAAGAGTTTGGATGATATATCACTTGTACCCACAGCTGGTGTCCAGGGACCCACTAGTGTGGACAAGTGGAGCAAAGCCACTCCCCTGAAGGTGGGCATTCCCTGGTGGAGGTCAAACTTGATTTCCACAGCCCCTGTGGTCTGGGTAAGATGGGAGGAAGGCAGTCCTGGGCCTGGTGGGGAGGT